TAGCTGCCATTATCAATGAGACATGGCTAATGAGATGTCATGTATCATTGGGCACTTTTAAGTGGGTATATTGAAATTCTTAAGTTTTTCTAGTGGGTATACTCCATATACCCGGGTATTGTGTAGATTACAACACTGGTTCGAGGTCAGTAAGCACAACCAGAATTAATGCATAAGACACACTGGATTATAAGGCTCACTGTTGATTTTTGAGAAAATTAAAGGATATTAAGTACACCTTATATTCTGAAAAATGCGGTACTAATATTTGATGATTACAGTCACGGCCCATCAGTGGCTGTAAAGATGTAAAAACATAATTTGTACCTTACAGAAAACAGAGGTGAGGCATTTAAGACAGACTGAATCTTAACTCAGTACAGTTAAATCATTAATGTAACCCAGATTCAGTCAGTAGCTACCTGGTCCTACTCTTGTGGATCTTGTTGTGTGCTTTAATATAAATGTGTCACAAGAGCAAAAGACTAATTTTACTTCTTATTTTGACATTTTTGTGGTGAAAATTTAAATTTAAAGCCATAGAGCCTTATCTTTTTTACTCATTACAGTAAAAGCACCATCAATCTAAAAGTTAGTTGGAGGAGTGATGATCGAAGAAGTTACTAACATGAGACCCCACTGGTGTCAAAGTTTGTGTTTACCGTACTTTCCGCCGTACATGTCGCTTCGCCCTATACGTCGCATCTATGTGTCACCGCTGACACATCACGTTTGTTATGAGTCACCGCTGACCACCCAAAAATGTGGGCTGGTGTTGTGCCAAAAATTGATTGGCTGCCAAATGGTGGCTGCTGGAGCGTGCACGGGTGGAATTTAACCAAAAAAAAAAAAAAAAAAGATCAACACTTAAAAACAATTATTTGTTTGCTTGAAATTATAGCAAAGGTGTGTCTCAGTTTAACTTTTCCTTAATAAATGCACTTTATCAGCTGCATTTCGCCTTGACGTTTGCTCCAGGATTTCCGAAGCGAGACGAAGGAGGTTTGGTATGGCAAGCCAAGTGTCTCATTAATTTACCTATTAATGAGACAATTGGCTTGCCATATGCCTCGAAGGCCCTCTAGTGGCTAAAAATGGTAGTGTTCAATATTTTCCATGTCAGAAGGAATGAAATTGTCAGATTTCAGCCAAAAATTGGGTTATAAATATGGGAAACAATACGTATATTAGTTGCTTTGGTGTATAATGCAGGACTTGCAAATGTATGCAAAAAGGCGTGACTTATAAGGTGAAAAATATGGTATATTTAATCTGTTTCATATCATTTAAAAACAACTAATATGCTTCTTCTTTGATCAACACAAGTTATTATATTTTGATTATTTGCCAGTCATGTTCTTGTTTATTGTTATTGTACCATCTTTCTACTAGATGTCTTCTATAGTCCCTGTTTCTCACTCCTCATACACCACCTGTCTTACATTAGTAATTAGCACACCTGCTGACTATTACCAT